AATCCGATCAGGAAAACAAATCCACGTATAATATAAATATTCATTCTCGGATTTGGGGGACCACTGTTACGCCTCATTTTACGAGCCTCGGTACCGAAGTGTCATCTCGCCACTCCGAAGCCGATGAAATCAAATAGACCCACTCCGACCTCCCGAAGCTTCTTCAAAGTGATACACCGATTCCTGTCACTGATCTGCCGAAGTGTCCCGTCTCCGAGGTCGGGTTCAAGTGGACCCCCGTTAGAAGATTCGCTGCCAATTTAAGATTTGCTCTGCATATAAGGTTTAAATTGATTTGACGTTCCCCATAAAGCTATTTGATGTGACTTATCAACTTTATGTCAATTCAACTCGGGAGAAACAAACTGTCCGCCCACTCTACAAGCGCGGCTGATTGACGCCTATGAGCAGACGCTTCATACCGTCAGATGTATACACGTGTTCCACATCCCACGGTTCATACCACCTATAAATACCCAAAAATTGGCCAGAGGCAAAGGTAATGAAACTCTCAATAGATAGCACTCCATAACAAGTTTATATATTCTCCTCCCCCTTTATTGACTGATTGGTTTGTGTAGTCCCTGGACACTGTTCCGACCACCCAAACATGACTTGACCATCGGAGTGTATACGGCCGCCACCCCCGTCGGTTCCGACCGTGTGCGCCTGACAATTTGTTCATTTCGTAGGGAGAAATACGTGGAGTAACTACAAATTGACCATGTGGAAGAGCCATTTTTAGAGGTCAACAGGTTCCATTTCAATCACGCAAGGAAAAAAACAAAGAGGAAATTATACGTGTTACGAATTAAACAACAAAAATCCGCACCAACAAAAATCCGCACCGATATAACAAGAAAATGCAAAACCATAAACCATCTATGCATGCATAAGCAGAAATGCGGCGTTATGTCTTTGAGCATAGAAGCAGAGAAGAATAACAAGAAATGCTCCCTGTTTCCTGAAGTTGTGTTCTTCCGTTTGCTTGTAAATTTTACTTCCTCTTCGTCTTCTTGTCCTTTCTGTCTCCATCTTGAGTTATTTGCGTTTTAACAATGAAGCTCTCTTTTTTCTGGAAGTTTTTGTTTTTGTGTGTGTGTGTGTCTGTTTGTTTTTTTTCACTATTTCTTGATTTTATTTGTTTTAATCTGGCTGTATTTAATGAAATTCCCGTTACTTGATTGCAGGGATGCATTGTAACTGTAAGTAATGTTTGGATTTTGGATAATAATTCGGTGGGTGACTTGAAAATTGTGCAATTTTTTAAGGATTTTATGATGGATTTTTAAGATTCTTCTTTTTTGTCGGTGCATAACTCTGCGGGGATGGCTGAAATTTGGGTAATCTGCAGATTCCGAGGTGGGTCTGGCATTTTTAGTTTTTTTGGATGTTTGGTGACAATAGGAATTTTATCGGTGAATTCATAGGTAGTTGGAAGATATTTGGGGTTTCTGGAGGGTTTATATAGGAAATTTTACTAATAGAATCTTGGGTTGGTCTATTGAGATTTATGCCGCTCTTTGCATTTTCAATGGTGGTTCAAGTATGAAATTGAGGGATTATTGTATTTTCGAGGGCATTTTATTGGAAAAGGAAGATTGACTTTAGCCTCTCTTGTATCTGCATGGTGTTTAATTATTAGGGTTTACAGCTGAAGAGTTTTATTTATTCTTTTGCCGTAAAAAAATGAGCTCCAATGCTTCAGAAGGTGGAGTTCTTAAGGGAAACCTCATGGTTCATGTTGCTGAGAATGGTCGCTCATATGAGCTCGACTGTGATGAATATACCTGTGTTGAGGCTGTGCAGAAGTACCTACAGTCTGTTTCCAGGATACCATTTCACGATCAGCTGCTTATGTGCTTGAACACGAAGATGGAATTGCAATGCCAACTCTCAGTTTATAAACTTCCGTCCAATGACCAAGAAGTATTCTTGTTTAATAAGGCAAGGATGCGAACTGATTCACCACCTCCTGCATCAGAGCAAGTTGAAATTATTGATATTCCTGATCCTCCATTGCCATCCTCATCTCTTAACCCTCACCCATTGGATGATGCTACTGACCCAGCTTTAAAGGCCCTGCCTTCGTATGAGAGGCAATTTAGGTATCATTTCCAGTCTGGAAATTCAATTTACCGCCTTGCATTAGCGAAAATAGAGATATGCAAGAGGCTTTTCCTAGAGCAGAAGGTACAAGAGAGAGCATTGGAGATTGCTAGGGGTAGTTTAGATCACTACTATATGATGATTCTTAAAAACTACACTGAGTTTGTGAAATGTTACTCTCAGCAGCATCGTAGTCACAATAACCTTCTGCTGAGTTTTCGGAGGGATATAGAGAAATTGAGATCTATAAAACTTATTCCAGCATTGCTGACTGCTGATCGCCAGCGATTACTAGATTTTGTAAAGGTGGAGAACTTGTGGAAGATGGTGGAGGATTACAGCAGTTCCCACAGGCACTTAGAAAACAAAGTTTCAGAATTCAAGGCTGAGTTTGGAGAGCTAAAGCGCAATTTTAAACTTTTATTTTCCAGTAGAGCTTCATTTCTTATTAATGAATTGGATTTCGCAATGAAAGACAACCAGCGGTATATTCAAGAGCAGAAGAGCATAATGCTGGCTTTAAGGTAGCACTCTCTTATCTTCATTTTTTTTCCCTGTAATTTGTTTTGGTGTTGGTATTTTTCGTGTTATGGCTTCTTTACCTTTTTGACATCTCATTTGGAATATGTAGATTTGATGTTAGGCAAAGGGAAGAAATTGGTTGTAGTACATTCATAGCATTTCTTAACTGCAATTGAGCATTTTTTCAGCATCATCAATCACGCATTATCCAAGTTTTGATGTTGAAGGGAATGGTTTGCCTGTCTGGTAATCAATTTTTGTTTGCCTATTTGTAACCTACTGGCAGATGTATACATAGCATGACTGTTATCCATGTCCGTTAACTTTGTTTTGATTTGGTTTTCTTGACAAGTTCCAAATAATGATTAGTATCTCCTGATTACACAGTGACAATGACCCTACCAAATTAATATTTTTGGGTATTTTTGCTCGCATAAGTTTTTAAATATGCTTACCTTTTCAGGAACAAACGTCAGTTTTAACCAATGTTCTGTTCTGACTTAAGTTGGGATAAAGAAAAAAGTGGCGCTGCTCTGTCCAGCGGATTTCAAGGGCGGTCTCGATTCTCTAGTTTGTCTTTTCTGTGTGTCAAAGTGGCTAAATTTGGATGATTGTGCAGAAGTAGATGGACATGCTTTAAATGTCAAGTTGGATCTCATATTGATGGTTTCATATAAATTATGTTCTGAAACTTGTAAAGAGAACGCATATAACATTGGTGTCATTTCAAGGCTGTGAAATTTGTATTCAGCTAATATGAAAATTGGAGAGGCCAAATAATTTAAGTGCATTCTTGCACCTTCCACAAACACGAAGATGCACACACTCACTCACCCCAGATTTTATAAGAAGAGGTTTTCTAGAAACTAATTATTATGCATAAGTTTTACTGCATGTTTGATAGTGTTTAAATTAAAGTTTGAGTTCTTATAAGCTGTGTGTCCTACAGAATGTGATGGATGATAAGTGGATAGTAATTGCGAGTCCTACAAAATGTGTTGATAAAAAGTATGTTTGACCAGAAGTTGATTAAGTTAGAATCACTTCGAAACATGCTTGACCTGAACTCTCAGTTTTATTTTGAGGTAAAAATATTAAAATTGTTTTGGGGTTTGCTGTAATGAGACCATGTGGATTGGATTGACTTAAATGTCCCATTAACTTCTTTCTTGGCTTTCAGTGATTGCTAATGTTATCTAGCTGTTATAGGATCTGCATTTTTGTGTCAACTTTGGCTTCCATGAAATTTTTTAATTATCCCTAAAAGGTTCCCATCATCAAGGAAGAAAATTTTGAATGAATACTCAAGTAATGTTGTCGTAGTTATTACATTTGATATTTAGAAAGAAGCATTGCAAGTTGGAAACTTATTTGTATGTGATCTGTATCGAGCTCTCGTTATTTGCCTGAACATGATACTTTTAATAATTCTAAACTACCTGCATGGTTATCTAAGAAAAGCTACACCGACATTCATGGAACATATCTCAAGAAACTTCATTGTTTTATTTCTCTCATATACTCTTCGTTAGAGCAGTTTTTCAATTTTTTTTCTATTGAATGCTGTCATTATTTATTTGTGGTCGGTTCTTAAGTGAGAAAATATCCAGAAGACTTTATAGTTTAGTTTTCGAGGATCTTTGTTGACGTAAGAGTGTAGTTAATAGAGTGATTGTGTATCTTACCTGTAAGTTTAGCAGTCATCTGGATCATAGTTGTCAGTGGTGCTTTCCTAGGAGCACCCTCACCTATGTTTTAATTGTTTATAAATTTGATAAAGCTGTAGACAGAAAAAGAGATAAAAAGGAAATATGTGAAGAATTTGAAATTTGATCTCAAAGAGAGGTAAAAGAGGTTGGTGATTTTGCCTAGGGGTCATTGGCAACTATAATCTGAATGGTTTTCTTTTGCTCCCACAAGGAATAAGTAGTTTCTTTTTTGCTTATGGCGGTCTTTGTTATTATGCCTTAAATATGCTTGGCCTGAAGCTGTAAGTTTTATTGACGTTATTTATAAATACATTGCTTATGCAATTTTTCATAGCTCAGATTCTGCGATGCATGTACTTCTTGCTGGTTAGGTGATTAGCGTTTACTAATTAACGTTGTGTTCTTGCAGTAAAGATTTTGATACTGTGAAGAAACTCATGGATGACTGCGTTACCAGCCATCCGTCATCTTCACTCCGCCCCTTTGATGCTGTTTCAGCCTTGGGTCCTATGTATGATTGCCATGAAAAAAGTTGCCTACCAAAAATGCAGTCTTGTGGTCTAGCAATTTCAAATTTGCTGGATTTCTGCAGGGATAAAAAGAATGAAATGAATGCCTTTGTGTATGATTATTTGCAAAGGATTGCATACATTCAGTTCTCCATTAAACAAGTGCAATATAAGTTCCCTGTTTTCAAGGAAGCTTTGAAGCATCAGAATAATAAATTTGAGCACTTAAAAGTGGTGCGTGGGATTGGTCCTGCATACAGGGCATGCCTTGTAGAAGTGGTGAGAAGAAAGGCAACAATGAAGCTTTACATGGGCATGGCTGGACAATTAGCTGAAAGACTTTCCTCAAAGAGGGAGGCTGAAATTAGGAGACGCGAGGAATTTCTGGAAGTACATGGTAGATATATACCTCGTGATATTTTAGCATCCATGGGATTGTATGACACTCCTAGCCTGTGTAATGTTGATATAGCTCCTTTCGACTCAAATTTGCTAGATATTGACCTTTCAGATGTAGACCGTTATGCTCCCGAGTCTCTTTTAGGACTCTCTTCCAAGAGTGAGAAGCATGGGACTTTGAAGAGTTCATTATCAATGTCTAATGATGGTTCTCAACCTGCGGAAGTTGAAGTAAGTTCTTTGAAATTCTCTGAGAAGTATGACTCTGAGGAGTTACTTCGGGATTCAGAGCTGCTGGAGATAGCTGGGACTAGCAAGATGGAAGTTGAGAATGCAAAGCTGAAAGCTGAACTTGCTTCTAAAATAGCTCTCATGTGTACTATAAGCACTGAGTTTGATTATGAATCACTTGATGACTATCAAACCCATAGTTTGGTGGAAAATGATGCTGAGAAGACTTCTGAAAACCACCTTGAATTGATGCTAAAGGTGAAGCAGATGCAGTGTGAATCCTATGAAAAACACATTCAGGAATTGGAGCAAAAGTTGTCTGATCAGTATATGCAAGCACCTACATTTTCAGCTGCTGAGCCTGTATCTAACTTTGTGCTTTCAACTGTAAACACTGATGAGAATAAGTTGGAAATTTCAGGAGCTGGAGAAATTCACATACCTAATGCAATGCAAGATAAGTTGCAAGAAGGTTTGGGTGATAATATGATAGCTCCCTTTAGTATGCTAAACCATCGATTGAATTCATCAATGCTATATGCACAGCGTGGCGAAGGGCTTCCTTTTGACAAAGATAAGAAAGAAACACTATTGCCAGTTGGTGGCACAGCACTTGCGGCGAGTTCTGTGGCTGTTAGCATGTTGCATCCTACTGATGTTTCATTCAGTGAAACTGCTCTTGAACCAGGTTTGGTTGCTAAAGTAAGCAATGAACTTGTTCTGGGATTGCAAAGTGCACTTGAAGAAAAATCGAACCAATTAAATAATGTGGAGATCAAGCTCAAAGCTTTGGTGGAGGAGGTTTCAAAGCTTGAGAGAGAGAGTTGGAGAACAGTCGAAAGCTAGTTGGTGAATCTCAGGTATTACTAACTGAAATCTAATTGCTCAGTCATGCCTTGCGTGCATGCGGCTTTCTTCTATTTATAGCAAATAGTGCTCTAGAAAAAATTTCCCCTACTTTTACAGCTTAACACTTTTTCCCCTTAATTGTTTGTGTAGATATGTTGCATAAAAATTGCCACTATTGCCAGTATCTTTTTCCACCAGAAATGGTATCATACCTGTCTCGCTGTCCAATAGTTTTGTTGAGCAACAATAAACACATTTATTTTATAATTAATCTACCACAATATCATTAAATTATTACCAGCACATCACCTTGTGATGTTTTGACCTACTAATTACATTCAATGGTCCTTCTAGCAAACATTGACAAGTAAAAAAGAGAAAAGAAAAGAAAGAAGGGAAGACCAGTTTGCAAAATTATGGATCATACTTGGTTGAACGTAAACTTGTAGTAGTTTCTTGCACACAGTGAGCATATTTACCCTATGATGGAGACTTTGAATTTGAAGATTTTGTTGCCTTGAAAAAGCTGCTGAAATTCTATAATTACATTTTTATCCTAACAAGAAATATATGAGGTCAATTACTTTGGCTTTTGTTGTGCATGTAATATTTCCTACTTAAACTTAGAGAAAGACGGTTGGATAATCTAGTAAATAGGCTATATTGTAGTGTCAATACATAGTATATAGTGCTTGTGGTTTACAAGTTGGACTTCTGTGGATAAGATCTTACAAATGCACCAGTTCATTCAAGGTTTTCCATTTATTGCTTTGCAGATAAATGTTGCTCATTTAGAGAATTATTTGCACGAAACAAGAGAGGAAGCCCAATCCTATCTTCATGCAGCTGATTGTATGGCCTCAGGAGAAAGTGTGCCGCACACCTCTGCCATTGAAATGCGTCGACTTTTTGAACGACTGAAAAGTTGTGTTTCTTCAGCTGAGATGACCGGTTTTTCTGATGCATTGCTTACTTTAGCTCAATCTTTATCCAAGTAAATACTTATGCTTTCCACCTTGCAGCAAATAATTTGTGATGCATGCTAGACTAGTCACTATATTTATATATATTACATTTAATATGTCAATATATTACATAATTTTATGCATAAGATTTGAGACAAAAGTTACCATGTGATAAGAACATGTATGAATATTTCTTTGCCATGGTTAATGATCCTGAAGCTTCACTTGCTTCAGTTACACCAGTAGACTCAATTTTCCTTAACTCCCTGGAATCTTTTGAACTCAGAGCTTCTCAAGATATCAATTAGAAAATATTTATCTTGGAAACTTAATCTACCAGTTAACCATTAATTACCTGCCACAACCAGCATTAAGGATACAGGTAAAACATCACATTTACATATAAATGTATTGTAATTATTACAAACTTCAGTGTGTGTACAATGGACTCATTTTGGTTGGAGTAATGCTATTTATCAAGTGTTTAACACTAGTTTAGGTGACAGCACTAGTGGCATTAAAATGCATGTTCAATTAAATGAATTATATAATTTCACCTTTAATTGCACCTATCATATAATGCCACATAGATTGGTGTTTTGGTGCTAGATAGCATTATTCTTTTGGTTGAAAGAGAGAGCACATTCCACTGACCTCGAATGTAGGGAGACCAATTCCTGATTAAACATCCATTTGTAACCCAAATTTTGTTTCCCATTTCCCTTCTATTTTTGCCAATCAACAATTAATTGGTACAAACTATGATAATTTCCGTCCAATCATTTAAAAGATATTTTTTTCTTTCATTTGTGCAAATGCAATATAACTTTTTTGACACGTTCCACAATTATTTATTCCATAAAGCTTTGGGCTTTTTCACGTTTGCCTTGACTTTATAGAGTTGTATGGGGTAGGGGAGGTGGTGACAATGTTAATTGAAGTTGATAGTTGATTGAGTTGCTTTGTTTCCTAAACAGTTCCAACCATGAAAATGTCGATGATATTACCACTGAATTCCGTGAATGTATCCACGTATTTGCCGAGAAAGTTGATGGCTTGGTGAGGCATCGCGATGAATTGCTTGATAAATCTTTAAAAGCCGAAGCTGAAATCGAACAGCTTAAGGAGGAGTTGGACGAGAAGACAGAGTTGATGAATACTCTTTATGTGAAGCATCAACTTGAGAAGCAGGTGATTCAGTGCTTAATATGTGAACCTACTTTTCATATTTGTTTCATTGTCTAATCGCCAAGAATAAAATTGTTAACGATTTTGTTACAGGCCAGCAAAGAGAAGATATCTTTTGGCCGGTTAGAAGTTCAGAAGATTGCTGCATTTGTCCTCGACTCTTCGGGGCATTACAAGGCTATCAATCGTAACTGCCCGTATTATTACCTGTCAGCTGAATCTGTGGCCTTGTTCGCTGACCATCTCCTGACTCGTCCAAGCTACATTGTTGGGCAAATTGTGCATATTGAACGAGAAACGGTGAAGTCACCTTCATCCAACAGAGATCTACCGACTTCGGACACAGAAACCAACCATTTGATCCTGAGTTCGGAGTCGACTTCAAACCCTTATGGACTCCCGGTTGGGTGTAAATACTTTGTCATAACAGTAGCCATGTTAGCCGATACTACTGTTCATACGCCGTCTCTTTCCTGATCTTGTTGCAGATGGCAGATAGACCATGATGGAAGAAATGAAATGTACGTGTTAATATTATACGAAGTGCTACTATGTATAAATGCTCGTTGGTGGGGGTTTATTCGATTTCCTCTTGTATAGTAAGGATTTTACTCGATCCAATCTCCCCCTTGCATATTCTTGCATAAATGTGTCGAACTTGTGAATATTCTGTCCTTGGAGTCATTATGGACTAAAATTGTCTGGTTAAGGTCATTATGGAATAAAATTGTCTGGTTAAGGTGCTTTTCAATAGTTTGACATAGTTAATTAATCATCATGTGCAAGTCATAAGTTGCCATCATATTCAAAGAGGTTGCAGCATAGAAAAGAAAGTCGAATTCCAGCTGCTTGTTGCCAATATCGACTTATAATAAGGCAGTTGATAGTGATGATTGGATAGTATAGGACAACATTAAAGAAGAAAAATGTTTTATTCGTTACTGGGATTAAACCGCCATGGAAGAGGTTACAGAAAGAATTATATCGGGCTGAATAATAAGTCTACTATTAATCTCTCAGACCAAGAAAAACACGTAGTTGAGTAGGAGAGGGATATAACAATCCAAAATGACGACCGGACTAGTTTGGGTTGATTTTTGGCATTTAATTGGGTTAGATTCGTGATGAGGACATTTGAGTTATTTATTTTTCAGTGGGACTTTTATTTATGGGAAAATTACCCGGTAACCTGGGTTTAAAAACTAGATTTCATAAATAAAGGGGATTAAGATTAATTTCATAATTCAGGTGGTAAATAAAAATTATTAAATTAATGTTATGTTAAATAAATATATTCATAACACCACGACACCCAATCTGTCTCCCGTTCCCTCTCTCTCTCTCTCTCTATTTTCTAGTCCCCTGACTCTGGCGAGCACATCCACCGCAATGGTACCGTGAGATCGCTGACGACGACTCCGCCTGAAGACATAGCAAGGCTAATCGTCGTCTCACAGCTATGGTTTGGATCTCCAATCACGATCAGAGCTGTTGAAGGGCTCAAAAAAATTGGGGAGGTGGTGAAACCCTAATCATCTTCTCTCCCTACATTCTCTCTATCACAAACCACCGCTAGCAACGCTCACGATGTCGCCACCGCCGACGACGCGACGTGGTGTGTAGTAGCTCCTCTAATCGCCACCGCTGACAACACGACATGGTGTGTAGCAGCTCCTCTATCTTCGTTGCTGGTATGTGATTTTTTCCGGTGGTTGTGGAACTTTGTGGTGTCTTCATCGCCGGTATAGTGGTATGTAAAGCATTTATCCGGTGGTGTCTAGATTAAGATTTGCAGTCTGCTGTAGTTAACTCGATTTTTGCATTATATTCTTGCAACTCGCTGGAAGATGTTAAGGAAAGTGGTGTAAAAACAGTAAGTGTTCTTGTTGTGTATATGGTCTTTGCCAAATGAAGATTTAATTTCTGAATTTTGGCTGTCAATGTGCATTTTGAGGCATGATGATGAACTGTGGGTGATGTGTGGATTTGATGATTTACATGTCATGTGGTGGTGGTGGTGGTGCAGTGATGCTTGTGGTGGCGGATGGGGTTTATTGAAATGTTGGTAGTTGTGGTAGTGCGTTATGTTGGTAGGCGTGGCATGTTATGCTGGAAGGTGGTGTTTGGTGAGGAAGATTAAAATGATTATTTGTGACCATTTAATTGGTTAATTGTGATTCATTTGATAATTTGTGATTGAGATATAAATTGTAATCCATTAATTCAATTATTCGTGATCTAGAAAATAGTTGTGACCAGTTAATTTAATAATTTGTGACGGAGAATCAAGTCGCGACTCATTAATTTAATTAATTTGAAAATCGATGATTGACAAGAAGTTGTGACCAATAAATTTGAGAATTTGTGATTGATGAGTGATGATACATAAGTTGTGGCCTATAAAATGTGTGATTTGTGACCAAAAAAGTCATGATCAATTAATTTAATAATTTTGATCGATAAAAAAGTTTCAACCTAAAAAATTTGTAATTTGTGACTGATTGTGACCAATTTTATATTGATTGTAACTGATTGTGACTTGATCACATTTCGTCACAGTTAAAAGGTTGACCTGATCACAGACAGACACACTGAATACAAATTTGGTCACATTAGTCACAATGAGAATAAATTTGGTCACAGTTAGTCACAAATAATACATATTTGTGACTTGGTTATAGACAACCATAAATTAGATGGTCACAGATAGTCACACTAAAAATAAAGTTGGTCACAGTTAGTCACAGATTATACAAATAGTGACTTGGTTATATACAGTTATAAATTAAATGGTCACAAACAATCACACTGAAAATAAATTTTATCACAATTAGTTACATAAAACATAGATCTTGTCGTAAAAAAAATTTGATCACATGCAACACAGGTTTTGTTATATGCATATTCATCCCACCTGATAAGGTCACAAAGTCAATAAAGCTGGTCATAGGTCATTTTCAAAAAAAAAAAAAAAAAAAAAGGAGAAAGGGGAAAAAAGGTAGTTGCCGAAGGCCGCTGGAATAATTGGTTGAAAATTTTAATAGTATGATTTTTAAAATTTCAAACTTTATTTTCTTAATTTTGAAATTGATCATATGTAATGTTCATCCTGCATGATTAGATCACAGATTTAATAGAATTGATCACAGGTCACAATATGTACATATCACAAATCTAATGAAATTGGTCAAAATTCATTTATAAAAAAAATGAAAAAATGTGTAGCGTCATTTGTTGGAACGATCATTGTCGGAATATTTTCTGGCGAAGAATTTGTCGTCAGAGCAGTCGCCGGAACCGGGGCTGGTCGTCGAAGCGATCGTCGAAATTCTAACGCAGAGCAGGTTGCCGGAGGTAAGGTGAGTCGCTGGAGTTGAGATTGAGTTGTGAGAGAGAGAGAGATAGATAATTATTTGAATTTAAAATTTAGTGTGATAGGTTATCTGGGGTGGATTAATTATATTATAATTAAATATTTAATAAATTTAATTATCACCTTATTTTGAAAGATTTTTAGATGCTTGTTAGTTGTGAAATGTGATTTTTAAATGTAGGATTTGTGTGGTGTTCCCTTTATTTATTTATGTTTTGGATTTTTATTGGGTTTGTATGAAGGGTTTGGCCCAAGCCCAATCTTTTTAGGGTTTTGTTTTGCTACGTAAGTTTAGTTGTCGTGAAATTAAAACAGTTGATGATTGAATAAAACTTTTGGTGGCTTGTGACGAATTTTCTCTCCTACTTCCTTCTACTTCTTTGTTGAATCTCCTTCTTCTGACATTCTTCCCCCCTTAATTCCCTCTTCTTTATAGATCCGTATTGTTCTCCATTAATTGTCCAGTCGGTGTTGTATCAATTTGGATTTGTAAATCAAAATTTGAATCGAATTACGGATTATCAATTAAAAATCAAGTGAAAATTACAGAGACTAAGTGTTTTCAAGATCTTGATTCATAATTAAGAGTTCTAAGTTTTTCTTTCAAAAATCATATGTAATTAAAATTAATAATTTTACATATCCACCCCACTATCTTCTACCATCCCAACCCTTAATTATCTCTCCTCCCCCCCTCTCCCGCCCGCTCTACAGTCGAACCTCACTTCTCTTTTCCTCTATATCTCTATATTTCACCACTCTTCCTTTTCTTTACGTTTCACCACCTCTGGCGAGTAGGGGCGAATTCAGGGGTCGAGTTCAGTTAGGGTGGACCGCAAGCGTTGAAAGCTTACTATCGACGACCAATGTCCCTGATAGTGGGCTTGTTTATTAATATTTACTTAAATAGTATTCAAAAAATCGTACGGATTAAAAGTAGAACTAGATACGAATTTTCATTTTGGATGAAAAAATCGTTTCATAATATGCAAAACGCCATAATTTATTTTTCAACTAAATAGGCATTATATATTAACAAAATGTCAATATTCAGTTTACAATTAAAGTTAATTAAACAAACATTATTACATTAACAAAATTGAAATTATTTATGTGCTTATATCGATTTTATGTGCTTTTATAATTCCACTTTTTTGCAATCGATTTTTTCGTAACGAAAAGTGGAATCTTTTATTAATTAAATAAGTTTTGTTAAAAGATTCCTTATGACATTAAAGCCAATTTTCCTACAAATTCATCTATCATTAATTGACCAAACCCTCAAATCAATTGATTAGAGGAAAAAAAAGAAAAGAAAAGAAAAGAAAAACAAGAAGAGGGGCGAAGCACCGTTAAATTGTTTCTTCTTGCATTAAACCACTAAAATTGAATATATATTATTTTGCTACGTTATATGCTAAAAATTTACAAGTGTCGTGATGGTAAAGTGTAACACATGTTTAAGGAAGGTAGTAAGTTCGAATCACATTCCTTAAATTTGTTTTGGTAAAAATTGTTGAAATATGAAAATTATAAAAAAATATTGCTCTTGAAGAGTTTCAAACACAGGACCTCCAATTCAATAACAGAAAAACTAACCAACTAAGCTCCTAAAGATGTTTATTGTTAATATAAATTATCAAATATATAATCTAAAATTTTTATCTATTATCAGTAAAAAAAAAAAAAAAATTCTCTCCGACAAATCCAGCTAGAGCGGTCGTGGTCTAAATCCACCACTGCTGGCGAGTCGCTACTCCTCTCCCCTCATTCTCTATGCTCTACATCACACATGGACCACCAAGTAAGCAGTGCAGGCTGTGGTTCCTTCTATTGCTATGGTGCGACGGTGTCAAAACAATGACATCGTTGAAGCACGCAATGCCTGCTATTATTGCATCATTGTTTCTCCCTTAGATTTGCTTAGAAGATGTTTTTGGTGTGTTGCACTTTGGCGCCTTTGATGGTGTGTTGGTTTCACTATGAATTTGTTGGTGGTGCTTGGGTAGTGGTGATTCTGATGTTGGCTGCGATGGCGAGTTTGTGGTAATGGCAAAGATGGTGGTAGTGCAGAGGTTCTGGTGATGGCTGTGCGTGGGATGGATGGGTGGGTAGGGCATTTGTGACTAATTATTTTGTTGATTGTAACAAATAAATTGATTAATTTGTGACTAATAAATAATTCACTACTCAAAAATTATGATTCTGATTCACAATTTATTAAGTCGTGTTCTAAAAATAAATTGTGATCACTTAATTCGATAATTATGTGATTGTTATATAAATTGTGACCTATAAATTTTTTATTTTTATTTTGCGTCGAAGAATAAATTGTAACATATAAAATTTTTAATTTGGAACCTATAAAATTTTTAATTTGTGGTCAATAAATAATTTGTGACCAATTACTTCGATAATTTGTGATCAAATTATAAATAATTGTGACTTTAATATACTTAATTAATAAAATATACTTTTAATAAATTATTTCATAAATAAATATTTTAATCTATATTCTATTTTTGAAGTTTTAAACATTGTTTCTTAATTTTGAAATGAGTAATACTTAGGACTTGTTCGATAGTGATTATGAGAATTGATATTTTAGTCGTTAGAGAGAAAAATGAGTCTCATCTGTGAAAAAAGAAGTCAAAAATAACGATCGACTTAGAGAAGTAACAGTAAAAAAAAAAAAATTTTTTGGAGGTGAAAATTCATAACCAAACATGCACTTAAGCTTTCATATATGAAATTTTTCTTATTAATCAATCCAACTTTAACCCAACAAAGGGTTATATTCACTAATGACCACCCAAATTCATATTTAGTATCACAATAGCTACCCAATTGATTTTGTTTCACCATGATCATCCAACTTTATATTTAATATTATTATGGTCATCTAATTTCATATAATATTTCACCATGACCACCTAATTTCATATAACATTTTACCATGGTCATCTAATTTATTTTCACCATTTTCACTAATTCAGAAGGGGTAAAACTGTAACTTTATATTATATATATAAAATAAATTTTAAAATTTTAAAATAAATATTTATTTTATTTTTTTAAGTAACTTTTTTTATAAAAAAATAAGTTTTTATTATTTTTTTCAAAGGAACCTTTTTTTTTTTTTTTTTTTATAAAATCACTTTTTATTTTATATTATTTTTTTGAGTAACTTCTTTTTTTAAATAAGTTTTATTTTAATTTTATTTTTTATAGATTCATTTCATATATATTATGCAAAGTTACCATTTTACAAATTTTTAAATTAGTGAAAATAGTGAAAAAAATTGAAAAACCATGACGAAACTTTATATAAAATTAGGTGACCATGGTGAAACGTTATGTAAAATTGGGTGATTATGATGAAATAAAATTAAATTGAATGACCATGTTGACACTAAGCCTCTGTTTGATCCCCATTAAATTACATTTCATTACATTCTATTTTTCTCTCTCGTATTTTCAACCACACAATCTTCCATAAAATAATATTATACGTAAATCGAAATTTTTCATTCTTTTTCAACCACTCATTTTTTCAACAAAACACTATTCTCCCCATTTTCATTACCAAAAATGGGGGCCAAATGGGGGTTAAAGTATAAAGTTAGGTGAACCTGATGAAACAAAATCAAATTAAATTATTCATGATTATATCAAGCCCCTGTTTGATCTCCATTAAATTAAATTACATTACATTATATTTCTCTCTCTCATATTTTCAACCACACAATCTTCTATTAAATAATATTACACGTAAATCGAAAATTTTTACTTCTTTTTCAGCCACTCATTTTTCTAAAAAATACTGTTCCCCCATTTTCATTTTCAGGTAATAGACATCAAATAGGGGCCAAGTATAAAGTTGGTGGCCATTAATGAATTTAACCAACCAAAATACAATCGTAACGGTTAATAAAATTACCAAAATAAAAAAAAATTAATATTAAATTACCATTTTTTTCTTGATTAAATTTAATCAATCATCATTGAACTTTAAGTTCATTACTACTCATTCACTCATTTTAATGAGCTATTAAATGCTTACTTATCTCTTCATATTATTACTCATCCATCACCTGATCCAAACTCGTGGATGAAAAGTCGCCAAAATCACCCAAACATTACGATTTTCCTTCCTGATCCACGACTTTGGTTAACCCCAAATCAAATCAGAGAAACTCCCAATTCGAGCCCTAATTCCAAAACCCCAATCTAGAAATTCAAATTAGCAAGATATGGGTTCAAAATCCACAATCCATATCAATTGAACCACATATTTCATATGAAGGATTCAACAGCTTCTTCCCAAATATTCTAGAGGGCGTAGCAGTAGGAGGCACATAAAGCAAAGATGGCGAGTTCTATTGGGATCCATCTTCTCCTACCCCAACCCTGTCAGGAATAGGAATTCAAATTAGAAGGGTATGCGCGGGCTGTATGTGGTGTGGTTGGTTTTGGAATCCGGTTTCCTTTTCTGCATCCTCGGTGAGATAAAAGTCTCCGGCGAAGTTAGTCCGAGTTTATGCAATTTCCATTTTCATACAATCCAGTTCCTTTATTATTTATTTATTTATTTATTTGGTAGATTTGGGTTGTTGGGCTTTCCAATTCAATTATTCAGCAGCCCATGAGCCATTTACCAAGAGAACTTATACACGCACCGAGGCCAGTCGTTCAATCAATTGTTCAAACCTAACCTCATAGGAAACTGAGAAGGTTGCAATCTTTTACGATCAATAGGTATGTTGTTTTCATCTCCTATTCATTCATATTGAAATTATTCTTCCTACAAGCTCTCGTCCAATTCTCAAATTTTCTCTCTGCAGTTGTGTACATTATTTAAAATACGATCTTTTTTGCTTAAAAATCTCTAATAGATCTAAAAAGTTGCTGAAGTGGTTAATCTGAAGAAGAGAGTAGAAATGGAAATGGTGGCTTTCACCATTGATGAGATTTGATTTTCTTATCCAAATTTCCCCATTTTTTGTGGCCTGAACACATTTGTCTGGATAATAGCAGAAGAGGTCCTCAATCTAATGCTCTTGTCAAATTTTAATCCCTAATCTTAGACCATCCCTACTCCCACTACCCATTTAATTTTGCCTTGTCTTTTTCATGGATTTTATTTGTCAGCCTTTCTCGAGTCCTTTTCGTGAATGGGTTTAGTCTATGAGGCATTGGAGATGGATGCCAAAGCTTAGATAGTGATTAGTCACTCTTCCATGTCAAGAAGGTTTGAATTTTTTTAGTTAATTTGTTTATGCTAATGTCCGAGTGAAAGAATTCAAGTTTTGAAGTATATTGGAATTTTCGATCCATTCAGTTTTGTATGATTACATGTTAATCAGTTATTGCATTCTTGTATGGTTTAGTTGTGGTATTTCTTTTTGATATGCTTATTCTGTGTCTGTGATAGTGATAAAATGCTTGAGGTTAGTTTTGAAATGCTTGTTTAGTGCCTATTGGTTTTGTTTTGAGGTTAGTGGTCTTGATAGAAATGCGATTTGATAATGAAGTCATTATGCAACGATATTAAAATATGAAAACTCATAAGATTTAGTGTAATTTATGAACTATGTCATTTTTAGCATTGTCGTAATTTTTTTATATTTTTATTATCATTAAATTTATGGTCAAAAACAAAGTTTGGTGTTGATTAAATTGTGCTTGTATTGAAAAAAATTTCTGGCTCCACCCCTATGTTGATTGATCAAAGTGTTGTTGATCTTGATATTCCAAGTTGCAAACATTTAACGGAATATATTGCCACGTTTGATATCTATTTTCCACGTATATTTTTCCATTCACTTGGAGAGATGGAGTTAAATGATTGGTGGATGGGTAATTATAAAGAAAGATAAGTGGGCATCGGGTAACCTATTTGAGTGAGTAAGTAGTAATAATATTGAAGTTCAATGAGCATTGATTAAATTTTCTCTCACTCTCGGTCACCTACGCCTCTCTCCTCATCTCGTTTCTCTGCTTGAAGCTTCTTGCCTCACAAAAAAATTTGCTATTCAAGAGCCATATTAATTAGGATTGGGTAGCGCTATTTTCATCCATATTTTTTATAAGTACATCCTACTCTAAGTTCATCCCTAATAAAATTTTAAAATTAAAAAAAAATACTATTTACATTCACGTTATATTCCAATTTTGTCCTTACTAAATTCATTCATTTAAATAACATATATCCATATAAATTTTAAGTACATCCCTAACGCTAGATTTACACAATCCCTAAAATATAAACTCTTTTAAACAAAATGAATGAAATACTAACAAAGATGATATTAATTTTATTACATTCATGTCTTAGATTTAGGAATTCATCAGTTAGCCATCGTTCAATGTAAGCACATTCCCTCATGAAATTATTATTATCATCTCTAAATAGTTAAAAGACAAACTGTATACGTTAACGTCGGAACACAAGAATTCATGGCAGTAGCAAAGTTTCCCATGAAAATCTAAAAAAGAAATCTTTAGGTCACCGAAAAATTATTACCGTTGGAGTTAATATATATCATTGAACATTAAGTTAATATATATTATTCAGCTAACCATTTTAACAGTGTTTACTAGAAATTTTATCATTCTTATTCATAAAACTCAATTCATCAAAGGCAAACCACCATGAATTAACATCCAAATTAGGAGGATGTTTGTCTCTAGAGAAAGTATACCGAGTAACATTTGGAACTCATCGTATTTGGACGATGATTGGTTTGCTTCAATCATCTCTTCATGGTATGCTTAAATCAAAAATTACAAGTAGAAAAAATTACATAAATGTTTAGAGAAAAATGTTTTAACATGCCTAAATTTCTTATTTTTCAATTAGACAAAAATGCTTCACATTAATAACGAGTAGAAAACATCACATGCTAGAAATAATTTGTACATAATATATCAATGTGAATCAAAATTAGGCTTCAAATCTTTGCGGATAAACATAACATGATTAGGTAATCAAATAGTAGTGAACAAATCAAGTAATTGTTCAATCAATAATAGTAGTGTTATCAGATCAAAAAATAATGATAATAGTAGTAGTTAATTGTTCTTATGGTTTATCCAAATCAATTATCTCTGATATAGCTACACCTTCTACCAGGGACCTAAAAAATTGCATCCTAGCATGATAAGATGTAGCCCAACCTTCGGCACATGGATGATAGTACTTGTACCAATTACAAGAAATAGGTGGCATTGGTCCACTAGTATGCCAATTTACCTGTACACAATCATATAGAAAAACATAAGTAGAAATATTATTTAGTTAATTAAAAATTTAATTAATTTGATGAATATTTACCGAGACAAAATGGCAGTCATTGACAAATCCAATTGCAACAATCTTATGAGATGCGATTGCAAGTGGTTCATCCCAAAGTGGAAGAAATGTAAGACGTTGTTGGCTCAAGTGAACAAGAATAATTTTTTATCTTGAAGCAATAACATGACCCATATCCGGCATAGTCATCCAATACTCACGACTCGTTGAACCATCAAAATGAGAAAGTGAATGAATCAACTCATGGACCATATCATCATTTCCATAGAGTCTAGAGTAATCATCAAAGTGAGATTCAAGCTCCTTTGTTAGGTATTTTCTGACCAAAGACCAATTCTCTTCACCTATACCTAGAATATTAGCCACGGCCCAAAAAATCACAATTGCCATCTGCGGCCACATCTTGCACATCAACCATGTAAGGTCTCAAATGAATAGGAAACGAATCAAAATAAGCCATGGACTTTTGATCCACGTGCTCGATACACCTTTTGTTTTTGTCGAATTGGACCTTTATCAAGAGGAACTAGATCAAGCTTTTTCCAGTGAGAGTGTACTCTTGATAAAGGAATGGGTTGAGATTCTTTCTTATACTCTGAAATCTCATGGGCACACGGTAATCCATGTGTTTGTCGTATAATACATCCACAAGTTACCTTGTCAGCTCCTATGTCATCAGCTCGCTTGGACTCTTGAAATATCATATTCATTGAAATTCTTGATGTAAATCCCTAAGCTTTTTAAACAAGATAGGTTTGAAATTATGTTGGACAGTACCCAAACTCTTTTCAAACGACGCTTTAATGTCTGTATGTTGTAGTTCCAATAATGCATGAATTATTGTCCATGATGTGTCAAAATTACCTTGGGAAGAACCTAAATGCCTTTTAAGTTTTGCATGTGCAGATTCAGCCTTACCATGAAAAATAAATCAGAATCATTGTACATTAGCACACTTAATAATGCTAATAGCAATTTAATAATGCCAATATAAATTTACCTATTAGTTTTCGTGTCTCCAAAGTGCATGTGTAGATTTATCTAAGCTGCCACAAACTTCTCTTTATATTGAAGAAACTATGAATTCATTACATAATCAATTGCTTGTGGAAATTGTTGAAAATTGGATTCTAAGAGATTTAGATTTTGTTTGTACTCTTCTATCGATGTTGAAAGCACTAACAAATTCCACATATGCATAAAGGCATCCCATTGGTCCTTGTGATTGTAAAAGTATTTTTTTGTTTTTGCCAACACATTCTTTGAAATGTGCCATCTACATAAAATATTAGTAGATGTTGGAAATATTTTTTCAATGGCCTTCATAAGGGCTAGCTCTCTATCAGTAACAATAACACTAGGCATTATTATATCGTTCATTAGACTCTTCAATCTCTTTAAAGCCAATGCGTAGTTTTCCTCACGTTCTCTTCCCAAGTATGCAAGAGCGATTGAAAATGTTAAATCAATAGAAGTGACCCCTACTATTTCCAACAACGGTAGGCGATACCTATTTGTTTTATACGTGCAATCCATAATTATCACACGAGGAAAAGCCCGCAACAAATCTACTGAATATGGATATGCCCAGAATAAATCCTGAACTATATTCGTCTCCATGTAGGTGCGGTGCCACTCTATGTACTTATTCTCAACAAGACTATTCATCAGTTGTTGCATTTGTGTCCTTCCAGCTTGTTCTTTGAGCCTGCACTTCTGACGTGAATTGTAGACGTGCCTCATTGTGCTAACATTTGTGTCATCATTTTGTTTCAATGTATATAATATTTCCTTTGGTCTTACATGATTCTTTGACATGTTTACTAAAATTGAAGTCTCTTTCTCAGTTAATCTCCCAGCATATGAATGTCCTTCAAGGTTTTGGGCAATGTCATGATTATGTCTCCCACATTTCACTTTCAATATTCAATAATCACCATTTATCAATTTTCTTCCATTTAATAAGAATGGGCATCCACATTTTTTTGTTCCGGTAGTTCTTCGTCTCTTTCATTTTTCATTTTCTTTGTTAGTATTCCTACATCTATATGAACCATATCTTTCACATGCAAAATCAATTCTTGGTTTTCTCCCAACTTGGCCGAAGTCGGACTTTTTCATAACAACAATCATGTTATGTCTCTTACCAGTAGTTTTAACCCAATCAATCAAGGCCTCTTTACTTGTAAACATTTGTTTATCATCAAATATTCATATATAAATATATGATCATGTTAAAAAAAAAAAAATTATTATGTACCATGTTTGTCGTAAACATATCCATATAATCAACAAATAACTCATTCTGGACATCATAGTTATGGGTTGATATATCCTACATTAAAAATATAGTTTTAAATAATGTTATTGAAATAAATTTAACAATAATTAATATAAAAAATACAACATTGGATAAGTATGCGAAATAGCAGATGAATTGGAACTTTTCTAAATACTTGTGAAAAAACTCATTAATGTATTAATGTGTTAGGAAAAAATCTAACAACAAAACACGATAAAAATGTAATCCTTACTCTTTCAAATTTCTCTTCATATATTGGTATGTCTGTATATTTTTGCTCTAACGGCGTCTCGTCCATTGTTCATTGAATTTCTGTGTATTGAAATTCTGAGTATTAGAATGCTTCGAACAAGATAATTTTATAACATTTAAGATTAGTAGGTTTTATTACGTAACCTGAGCTTGATATAACTAATATTTTGGATTGATCATACGCAATAATATGCACGTCAATTCGTCGACAAGCATTTGCAATAAGAATTCGATGAGACAAAAGTCGATAATGACTAAACTTTAATAATAATAGCACGTCGACTATACACCTCATGATCATTATTTTAGATTCAACGACTAAAGTTAATAAGAATTTATATGATTTGGTATATCTCAGCCAAACTCAAATCATTTCTCCCATCCCTCGTGATTTCATCCATGCAAGAAATATTTCATTAATGGTTTTTTTAGAGGTTGCTTCACCTACCTATGTCAAGAAAGCTCCTCAAACAAATTCTACTCTTAACATTTTTTGGGCAAAAAATTCTCTCGAGATTTTTGCTAGTTGAATTTCTAATGAGATCTTCTGCAAGATTGAATTTTTCGGGTTGGATAAAGCTGAGGATGAGGAAGATGAGGAAAAAGCAGCTGGGTGCTTCTCAAAATGGAAAATAGGTGAAAAGTAGTTCTAACTCGTCTAATATGGCAAATTCTGGTAATTCAGGCCAATTCAATGAAGCTACTAGAAGTAATTCTTGTGGGTTTAGTGAGCTTAGTAATGGAAGCGCAAAGTTTGGCAATTGCGTAGGCTTTGTGTTTGGGGTTAATAATGATATCAATGTGGGAAAAAGCGGTGGTTTGGAGAATGCGGAGTGCAGTGACAGTTGGAGTCTACCTTGAAAATTTTGTAGCACGGGTATTGTTTTTGGTGCTAATAAGACTAATTCAATATCGAATTTGGATTTGCATAATGGAAATTCTTCTTTCAGTACAAATATAGATAACTCGAAGTCCAATACAAGTCTGAATGATGGATATTTTGTGTTTGGTGCTAATAAGAACAGTTCAACGTTAAATACAAATTTGGAAAGTGAGGTATCTGTGATTGGTGTTAATACAAAATTTGGAGAGAAAGAATCAATTGTAAATGGAGGACAATCAGGAGCTAACAAGTTTAAGAAATCTGATGACTTGTTAAGCACGGGTCGAAACTCCAACCGCGCTTCTAGGCTACTATACTTACAATTCTGCTTTTGATTCCTCGTCTTCTGATGAAATGTCACGGACTTTGTCCTGCGTTTGGAGAGGAGGAGGTGCTGCATGTTCTTGGAATTCGACATTTTCTCCTAAAATTTTAGCAGTGAATTGTCTAGCTTCTAAATCAAGATCCTGCTATTCCGCAACTATTCTTTTAGCTCCCTAAACATAGAAATGTGAAGGAAAGATAAGCCATGATGATGTGATTTTACCTGTGCTTTTCTCTGGTGAAGCTTCTGAGGCTTTCTGGTTATGATGCTGGTGTGTGTACATCCAGGTGGCAAGGGAGTGGCAAGGTTCTTAGAGGTAAATAATCCTTTTTGTCAACTTAGTGTATTTGAGTGCGACTACAAGAAGATGAGTAACCTGTCATAACAAGCAGATCTGCCTAACGAGTTCTGTAGAATCGGGCAGTGGGATTTTTTGTTGTGTGTTGTGTCATTGGGGATGGATTTACGTATCTTTTGGCTTTTCTTCCTTGCCTAACGAGTTGTGTCTTATTTAATCAGTTTATTCATATAGTGGAGTATGGACTTTTATTAAAATTCTGATTCAATATTTTCTAACTTCATATGCAGGTGATTTATGTGGGCTCTTTTACCAAGCTTAAACAATACCTTAAGGTAATGGTCGAGGCTGCTAGATCTTCTTTGAAGCAGAATTCAATGCCTCTACCTCCCTAGAGATCTTAATCTATTAGAAATCTAGTTAAACACAAATTCTAAGATGATTTAATGAAAGTAAAAATTAGTGGATCAATTTAGAGTTTTGTATTTTTATATCTATTACGCTTGATCATTACTTATGTCTATTTAAGTAAATTTATATATAATTTAAAATATAGTAAAATTTTATTTTTAAAAGTGGATGTACTTATAAAAAGCGTGGATGGAAATAGCGGTACCCTTAGGATTTAGGTAAGGCCTTCTTCTACTTTCCTTTTATCAGTCAAGGTTTGGGAAAACAACTTGTTCAGTTTTGTTTATCTATTCATTCATTCTTTTTGAATTCAATTTCTGGTTTTATATTGTCTCTGCCTATTCAAAATTGCTGTCTATTGGACTAGTTTAGGCTTTTAGCATCGAAATGGAAACCCAGAAAACAAATTACTTGTGAACTCTTTTCTTTTATTTTTTTATTTTTTTAGGAATTAAGATTTAAGACCCCTAGCCATTTGAGACTTGGAGGAGGTTCTTTGCGATGGAAGCAGAGTTTTTGGTTAGAGTTTCGACGCCACGGCACCCAATTCCGTTCTCCCGGTGTTGCATCCCCATGGCAGTGCTGCTTCCTTAAAGGTTGAATATTTTTATGCTGTTTTTCAAGGTCTAGGGTTTTTGATCAGTTATGAATGGTTTTGAATCCAAAGTTTTATTTATTTATTATCATTATTATTATTTTTTTGATTTTCTAGATTTTTTTTTATGGCTATTTTTTCTATGATGTATATTCATATGCTTGTTTTATTTGTATTTATATTTAACGATTTTTTTTTTTTTTGTTTATTTTTTTCCCTTTTTAACTGAATTGTGTCTATTATTTTATTCAATCAACATTTCTAGACACACACGTATTCGTACTTTTATCATAGATTTGTTTTACAAACAGTAAGTAAAGCTCTCAGGTTTTTTTTTTTTTTAATCAACTTCCATATATATATATATATATATACACACCTCTGGGTGCGGAGAGAACAAAAAAAATGTATGACATTCAATATTCCTTCCAGAACAACCTTTGAAGTGAAATTACCAGAGGTTTTTGGTCATATTCCTTCACTGTTAGTCGTTAGAGCTATGACACCAATGGGGAATTATGTTAATGCATGGCCCCTCTTTATTACTGCCACGGGAGTACTTAAAATTCTTGATCTTTTATTTGTTGTGATCTCCATTGAAATGTATGAATTTATGCTTGTTTGTGTTCACAATCTCGCTTCACTTGATGATAGGAGCCACCTGTTTATTGATTATTACCGACTGCCATAATGCTGTGCCACTTCCAAGTTCTGATTCGGGTCTCACGGTGACTGGAGCTCTTTGCTCTATGAACACAGTGGTAAGGTAGGTACATTCAAGATATTATTATTTACTTGAGTCGAAAATGGCCTTAAATCTCATAAAGAAAGCCCTACATGAAGCGGAAAATCCAATTGAGGTCTCCCTAAGAGAATCCTTTCAAATTCTTGAACCCAAATTAAGACCCCCTTTTCCTTTAACAATCCCAACTCAAGAAGAGTACTCAAACCTCAACAACGCAATTCTTTATGGCATTTTGTGTGAACCCCAATTGGCTAACGTACATCTTAAGCACTTACATGGCATAGTTACTGATGGGTACCGTTATTTCACGAGTATGCTCATCAAAATTGTGAATGACTTTTATGGAAAGCTATTTGATTCTGTGAAGAGGCAGTTGATCTCAGTAGCTCATGAAACTGTGTATGTGTCGGCAGTGGGGTTTGATGAGTTGATGGTAGCCCTTTTGAGGCAGATTGTTGGTGGGGATTTTAGTGAAGGGAATTTGTGGTTGTGTTTTGAGATGGTCACTCTTTTTTTAAGCAAATGGGATTCTTTGTTAGAAGAGGAGCCTTTAGTTTTGACATTTGCTTTGTATGTTTTTCTTCGGTTGTTAGCTGATCACTGTAGAGTATCAAATGTTGAACGGATTGAAGCGTTGAAGCGAGTTGAGATAGATTTTTGTGTTAAAATGATAAGGGAAAATTTTCATTTATGTTTGAAGATTGGGAGGGATCTTCTGAGGCTTTTACAAGATTTGGTTCATATACCTGAGTTTTGTGCCATATGGAAAGACTTGTTACTGAATCCAAGCTCATTTAGGAATGAGGGATTTGCGGATATCACACAAATTTATCGTACAAGGACTTCGAGTAGGTATCTTTTGCTTCGGATTACTCCTGAAATGGAATCTCAGTTGAGGTTCTTGCTTACTCATGTGAAGTTAGGGAGTCAGAAGCGGTACCAAGTTTGGTTTACAAAGAAGTTTCTGGCTACTCCAGAGAGGGAAACACTTCTGACAGACATGGTTAGGTTCATATGCTGTGCACATCACCCGTCTAATGAAATTATCCAATCAAATGTTATCCAGAGATGGGCTGTTATCGGTTGGCTTTTGAAATTTGGTAAAAAGACTCACGTTGAAGCAAATATGAAGCTTGCCTTGTTTTACGATTGGCTTTTCTTCGATGATAAGGCGGATAATATCATGAATCTCGAACCTGCAATTTTGTTGATGGTGCATTCTATTCCTAGATACATGGAGATGACACATTCTCTTCTTGAATTTCTGTTCATATTGTTGGATAACTATGATCTTGATAGGAAGGCAATGGTGCTAAGGGGAATATCATCAGCTTTCCACATACTTGTCAGGAAAGGCGTGGTCCAATCGCTCGATGTTCTTGTTAGTTGTGATATGCTTTCTCCATTTCTCAAGGAAAGCCTTAGAAAGTTGTTGCCGGACCTGAACATGAACTGTCCAGCGGAGCTTCAAAAGAGTAATATCCTGTGTAGTAACACTCCATCATATTTGTGAAGCTTGGAATCTTGAACATTGTCAAGCATGGGTTAAATTGGTTGCCGCTTTTGTCAGGGGCGGCCATGGTGGTTTACCAAATTTAATGTCTCAAATTTTGGCTCGTATAGTCCTTATAATTCTGCGATTAACGGAGAATGTAAAGATATATATTAATTTGTTGGAGTGGTTATTGTACGACTAGAAATTTCATTTAAATTTTTTTCACTTGAGTCATGATTCTAGACCTGGGTTCGACTAAATAGGAAAGTGTTTTTACACCCATTTCGATGGTTCATCAGGATGAGACGATGCAATTTTAAAAAATTGTAAGTACTGAATTATTAAAGTTCATACGAAAAGTCATTATTATTAAGAATGGTACTCGAACCAATCTGATAGTGAGCAACGTGTAATTTACTTCATTCATAATTTGGGCCACATTTGATGTGATTTTTACTTTTTCTTTATGTAAGTGAGTTTTTGAAAGAAGTTACTTTAATTTTTCTTTGTAAATTAATTTTTAAAGGAGTTTTCTATTTCGAAAGTGCTTTTAGAAGAAGTCATGTTGTTACAATTTTTTCTAAGAATCCGTTTGATGGCAAAGGTGGAGAAGGCAAACTAATTCCATGTAAGTTAAAAAAGAAAAATTATCAAAATCATAAGAATTCGATCTCCATGGATTTGGTCAAAAGCATTCTTTAAGTATTTGTACTTTGAAATTTGAACTTCATGTTCACTTTCGTATTAAACAGTCAAGGTAGGAAACAAATTTTTCGGATGTGATATTCTCCATGGAATACGACATAATCAAACGGATCCTAAAAGTTTTTCTAATCGGCTAAAGCACTTTGTTCCTTGTTTGACCATTATATTTACAAAATATTTTTTGTAGGACAATCATTTTTGTAAAATATTTTTTTCTCAAATTCATTTTTAACTACACATTTTTGCAAGAATAGGGGCTTGATAAAATTAGACAAACGAGTTTAAAAGTAACTTTAAATTTAAAAAGTTCATTTTAACTTTTTAGAAGTTATGCCAGACGAACCCTTAATATACGTACGTTAAAATTTGAAAGCATGAGCTAATAGAACCAAATGCAGCTAATAGAATCAATACTTTTGATGTTATCGAAAGTTATTCAATATTTTTCTTCTGTCCCTCTCATACTCTACGGTGCAGCTAATACGACCAATATCTTTGATATTATCAATAACTATCCAATTATTTTCTTCTCATTCTCTCTCTCAAAATTCGAGTGGGTTCGATTTTCAATATACTAAATAAACAAGATTGAAAAAGAAAAAAAAATATATGTAAGTTTTTATGTCTCGTCCATCGATTTTCTTCTTATCTCTCTCGTCTTCTCTTTTCTATTTCCGTGACCTCAAATTAACTAGTAAATAGAAATTACTTTTGTAATTTCAGTTTTGAATTAAATTCATTTATGACAAGTTAAACTAAAATATACAGAATGGAATTAACGAAGAAATAATTAAAATTTTATTTATTATTCCCTACTTTTTATTTTAATTTTAAGTATTAAATAATTAATTGAGATGATACTAGGTTTGTCTCTATATTAACGTCAGCTGTATCTAAGTTTCTCACAAATAAATGTTTGCCTGCGAATCTGACAGACACGAATTACAGCAAGAACAACATGTTGGTATATTATTTAAATTAAGCAAGCTAGTTAATGGGCAAACTTTATCTTAAATTTAAATTTATTTTGATGTTTCGTGGGTTATAATGAGTATGTAATAATATTTTTCAGACACCTACGTCTCTCTTTTTTGGTTACATTCAATTTATTTTATAAAGATATTTGCATCGTCATCTTTAAAAGTTTAAGCAATTAGAGATGAGATAGATTTAATGAGTAATTCATTCTAATTAAATCCGGGATAATTTTTTTTCTTTGTAATTACTACTAAAAAACCGATTTAGGGCGACAAAATCGAACAAACAAAGTTCACCGTGACTTAACTACGGATTCTCAATGGCTATTTTCTATATTTAAAACCAAAGTAAAGTTATCAATAGATTTATTGACAATAATATATACAATACTAAAAAACAGATAGATTTAGCTCGTTGGCAATACGAGCATATTGAGTTATTTTGTAAAATGGTAATATATATTAAGTCAGTTCATTAAAAATGACTTATTTAAAAGTGATCAACAGATTATGCAAAGTAAAAATCGAATAATTTTACATGTTCACTCGATCATCTTTTATCATGTTCATGAAATCGCATCGATCATTTCTATAAACTAAAAAGTCTTTTAAGTGTATACAAATCACGTCTCAACTTCGAGACTATTTACATGCAAATACCTAAAAAGGAAAGTAACATATATAACACAAAAATCCAAGTTAGGACAAAGCCGGTTTAAGCCGGCCATGAAATCTGCCGGCTTACTCGCTAAATCCATTTGCCAGCACTGCAAATTTTCATTTTTTTTTCCTTCCATCTCTTTTCCTCTTTAAAAGCCCCTACATTGGAAGACTCAGTCACATTCTCAACTTTTATTTTCTTCATAAATTTGCAGTAATATATTTCCATGGCGAAGTTATCACAGCAGAAACCTAAGAACAGCTCAAGCAATGGTGATATCAGTGTAAACAATCACGGGATGAAACCGAAACGCACTAGGAAAACTATCCCAAGAGACTCTCCACCTCAACGTAGTTCAATTTATCGAGGCGTCACAAGGTTAGTTTTAACTACATTGCACATACGGGTTATGTAGGCAAAGGATTTGTTAGAGTCGAGTCCCTTGCCACATTGGTCACATAATAGTTCATTCAAGATCAAGCATTTCCTTTCATCACTCAAAGCTCTGTGTTTTATTAGAAAAAATTGGTTGCTGCCTGCAGGCATCGATGGACAGGGAGATATGAAGCACACTTGTGGGATAAGAATTGCTGGAATGAAGCACAAAACAAGAAAGGGAGACAAGGTGAGTAAGTGTCAAGATTAATCCTTATATCAATGCTACTTTTTCATGGTATTTCGGTCGATAAAGTAGTTCAATTTTGTCTATTCTACTTTGTAGTCGTGTTCAATACTATGTTTCTAACATATTGTTTAGACATATTTACCACTCAGTATTGAAGAAATAAACATCGGACAATTGATAAAAATTTTAACTTCTTCATTCTTTGAACATGTCGAATTTCGTTTAGTCCAATCTCAAACATCTCATTTGTGTTTTAGTATTAGATGTATTATATGTACTAATTTTTTTTCTCTGTTTGGCTGTTTTTCTTGCTATGATTTGATGGCATTTTGATGGGGAAATCAGTATATCTTGGTATGTCCAAAATTGTAGCTACTAAAAGTTTTCCTTCTCTCGATTTTCCTGAAGCAAATTTATTAATTTCTCATGAAATTATTTGTTAAATATGGTTCTTAAATAGGTGCCTATGACGATGAAGAAGCAGCTGCACATGCTTATGACTTGGCTGCACTCAAATATTGGGGTCCAGATACAATTCTCAATTTTCCGGTAATTAACATTTTTTTTTCTCATGAATATTGTAAAAACTATATTTTTAAAATATTTATTAATCTATGTCAAAATTCTCGATCGTTTACACACATATTTTACTATATATATAGCTGCAAATGTATGAGAAAGAGCTGATAGAAATGGAGGGACAGTCCAGAGAAGAATATATTGGATCATTAAGAAGGTAATAAATTAAATTAATTAGTGTTTAACTATTTGCTCCTTTTACAAAGGTTTTTATATTGTAGTTGAAATAATTACAGGAAAAGCAGTGGCTTTTCAAGGGGAGTGTCCAAATATAGAGGAGTTGCAAGGTACAAAGTCATTACAATTATGGTTAACTAGCTTTTGTTTATATAAATTGAAAATTTTTGGACTTCAGATTACATAATAAATAATCTAAATTGCATTTTTCCGACTCGATAATATGCTGGACTCAACATGGCATGACAAATTATTTCAATTATCATCTGATCTCATGTTGAATCCAACGTACCAAACATGTCATTCTCTAATGTATAATCACTTAAACTAGGACAAAGCTATCAAACCATATCCTTTGATACTTAGTATTAAATAAAACCGAACACTATAATAAACAAAACTTTAACTTCATCTTTCTTAACATCATAGAATGCATGTTATCTAAACGCTTAAGTTTATTTGCAGGCATCATCACAATGGAAGATGGGAAGCTCGAATTGGCAGGGTCTTCGGGAACAAATACCTTTATCTTGGGACCTACGGTAAAAATCTATTCAAACTCTAATAGTTTCTTGCATGACAAGTAACAAAATATGACAATAATAACATTTATTAAATTCTCTAAATTAATCAATCTGTTAAAAACAAATATATCCCGTCACTAATGCTCAAATATCTCTAAGTTTAGGGTATCAGTGACGGATTTGGTTGGCTGCAAGATCTATAGCAGTCAAATAGCAAGACAAGATTACAAAACTCTAAAAGATATTATGTTTTCTGAATCATTTCCTTAATTTTTCTTCAGCTACCCAAGAAGAGGCCGCGGTTGCATACGACATGGCAGCTATAGAATACCGAGG